TTGATTCTTAGATATTTTTTTACCACTGTGCAAGTAAAGTGACTATATTTCACTCTGCAGGTTTGCGATTCTTGAGTTATCAGGTCTTTCATACCATCCAAGATGAAAATCATAACCCTTGGCAGTCCACTTTGTATGTTTTATGAATGCTGTCTGGGAAGCAGCATCTCATTTACAATTGGGACCAGGTGCCAGAGTAATTTCTGTTTCAACCAAGCATACCTAATTAACACACAAATAATGTGAATTATGAAAACAAGAAAAATAGATGTTAGTTACTTAATCTGAAAAATGTTGAGGGTATGACTGCAGTACTGTTGAAGCTCTATGAATACTTCATAGAGATTGGCAGTACTGCCACAAAGAATATTTCTTTTCAAAACACAGGTAGGCATGCAGGTTTATGGGATGGTATCACTAGCAGAGTGGTGCTGCCGTGTGCCCAGCAGCCTTGTCTCCAGTTTAGCTAAGACCCTCCATCTAGGCATTAATGTAACATGTTCTTAATGGAAATTATTTGACCTTAGTGGGGATGGGTCCTAAGTTTGCATTGTTAAGATTTTGGCTGGAGTGAGTCCAGCACTCTTTAGGATTGAATCCCCACAGCCAAATTGTGTCCACTGGAGGGGACTAAACAGGTGTAGGTGGCTTGGCCTCCCAGTGTATGACTTCTGTGTGCTTAAATGAAGAGTTTCTGTGCTTTGATTTCTTACTCAGCCTGGTTTCTTCCTTCAAGGTCAGATTGGAGTGTGGAGGCATGTGAGGTGTCTTGATTTCTGACCATATGCAGGTTATAGAATTAAAAATTGGCATGTCTTATCTGTCTTACCACTTGCTGCAGAAACCTCCTGTGGCAAATGAGATGCTGTGAGTCTAGAAATTTCTTCGTGATGGACATTCTGACTTGTTTTTTCCTTTTTTTATTACTAGAGAAACAGAAAGGAAAATAAAAGCTAGAATTACAATTAGGACCAGTTGCTGAAGCTGAAAGAGACAGCACAATTGTAGTATGTTAGAAGATTGCCTTGTTTTAGAGAAAGTGCTGATTAAGATCAAATTGTCTTGAGTTTACATTTTGATTGGATCTAAACTGAGGGGAGGGGGGTTATATTTCAGACACAGTGCAAATGATGCATGTTAATATCCTGTGCTTATTGCCACTTGAAATTGCAGCATAGCTTTGAATTGCTGCCATATCTATAGTTAAGACTCCCAAGTAATCACTGTGATTATTCCAAATCTTCATGGTAGAAGTGGAAGTAGTATGATACAAAGGGTCCTGTAACCTAAGTTGTCAGAGCCTTTTTATCCTTTGGGGCTCAGATTGTGATTCCACCCAGTAGAGGGAATGAGTAGATGTACACATTGGCCAATCATTCCTGAAAGAGAGATTAAATAAATGGATGTAATTATGTTATTTTCAGATTTATTTGGCTTTTGTGTTACCTCCTGCCTCACTAGCTTTTCCTGAAATGAACAAAAGCATGGCTTTTCTTTTTTTGGAATGCTTTAATTCATATGTTGGCACAGTGTGGTATTTTTCATTTTTATTAGAACTCCTTTTTTTGCTTTCCTTTCTGTTGATCTATAACATGCCTTATAGTCACTCATTTTATTTACAGTCCATGGGATAGTTCATCTCCTTGAAATATTCTTTTACCTTTGCTTAACTATATGAAGTTGTAAATTTACATCTGATCTGAATGTACACACATATGTTACTGTGTTTTATTTAGCTGATGGTAGATTGAGAAGTGAGGTCAGGATAAACAGTAAAATATAAAGTTACAGTTTACTAAGAAAATACAAGAAGAGTCTCACAGGAGAGAGAAATGCTCTGTAAAAAGTTGTTTAAAAGAAGCTTAAATGAAATTTAGATGTGATTAAAATCTGTTCTGGTTTTTGGATATGCAATTGTTCAAGCGAGTAGTTGTTTATTTTGAGTTCAAACCCTCAGCAATCACTGTTAGTTGGCTCTCCAGATAGTACATCCCAGTTGCATCCCTTCATCAGTTGCTAGCAGGAAGGTTTTGCTATTTGTTCCACTTGCAAAGTAAATAAAACTTGTCATGGAAACATTTAAAGTGGCTACAATATTTACTCTGTAATATTTTCCTCAATAGGTAGTGTTAGCCAGCAGGCAAAGCTGAGCACCCAGTGTGTTAGCTGTGGGTAGCAAATCTGTATGCTTGGCACATAATGATCAGTTTAAACTATTGAAATATAAATCAGAACATTGAGTGAAATTCAAAAACATTTCATTAAATGAATTATGATGTGTGTGAATAAAAGCATAGTTAGGGACTTTGCATATATGCTTAGATGTCTACAGTCTTTAGGCTATTTTTTCCCCCAATAGATTTAACTACAAAAGACACATAATATTTTTGAAGGACAGGATTAGCAAATATCACATTGTGTTTGCATTTCATTATAGCTAGCATTTTTGTTATGATTTCTGCAAGCTGTTCTTTGGTCCTCATTATGAAACCTAGACATGCCTATACTCAAGTCTCAGTAACAATGAAAACCACTCCCAAATTTATAATCCTCATTCCTTCATTATTTTGAAGCCAAAATTAGTTACTTTTGGAAGTGTAAGATTTACTGGGCCAGAAAAAGCAACACAATAGTGCTGTAGTCCAGAGATTAATGTTCTGTACAAGTGCAGTTCATTCCTTTTGTGGAGTACATGACATACTGATTCCTTGTCTTAGTTGTATACGTTTTTTAAAACATTAACAGGATAGAATGAAGAGATTGGTATTTACAGAAAGTGTTATTTGGACTAGAAGACTGTATCCAAAGCTATTAGGCTTTCTATATTGAATTACTACCATACTGCTTCCAGTGATGCAGCATGGAGGTATTTGTTCACACTGCAAGCTAAGCATGGGTTTCAGGACCAGCTTTGTGCTTGCATTAAAATATGAGGACATGCATGGACACAGGCATCATCAGGAATTGTGGAGCTCCTGTTGCAGTCTCGCTTGTGGAGTTTGGTTTAGCATAGGACCTTGTCTTTCTTTCTGTGATCTGGTGAGGAACCAAGAGGAATGAGCACAGATAGTTTGTGCCCCTTTATTTCTAAGGTAAACTAGATATTTTGAGCATGAGTTGCAGATGGTAGTGTGGCAAGGAAAGTACAAGTCTCCATGCTGGGCATAAATGCTTCTTCATTCATCCTTGCAATGCAAGCAAAAGGACAGGGCAGCACATACAAGCCACATTCAGTTTTAGGTTGGTGCTGTTCCCTCTTGCAGAAAACCTGCCAAATTAGTGTGTTACAAGAATCTTTGAACCTCTGTCTATGCCACCAACAGCATATGTGGAGCATGTACAGTAATAAATTAAACAGATACTGTCTGAAGAGATGGGAAGCCATTGCATACAGTAGGAATAAAGGATGGCATTTGTGATAATCTCATTTATAGAGGCTTTCCAATAAAAATATTATTTCCTACTCTTGGGTGATGTGTATCATTAAAATAATACAAGATCACAGCACAGCTATAGGCTATTATCTTGCACTTTCTTCTGACCTAGTCACACAGCTAACAGAAGCAGATTTGGCTTCACATAGGCTTTAATGTGGGGTTGCAGCAGTGGGCCATTGACCCAGGACTATGTGCAATTCTATGTCTTGTTCAGCAATGTGCTTCAGTATGTGCCCCATTTGAAGTATATGAAAGCTATGCAAAAATTAGTGCAACTGTGTATGTGCTTCAATTACAAGTGCACATGCTTAAGTAACCTGTCAAATTAGAGCATCTACAAATATTGTATTTATAGTTTTTCCCCCAAGACCAATTGCACTAAAAGCTCAGTCCAGCTGTCATATCTGTGTAATTCATTAGAAATTTCAAACTTCTAACTTCAGCTTCACTCTAAAAAAGTGTCTACATAAAAATTATACTGGTTTGTCTAATATATTTCATTCTCTGTATTCTCATTATTGTAATTCTGTTTGCATAACTCATTGCCATTTACCTCTGTAAGCAGTTTACAGTCACTGTATCATGGCGATCAGTATTCTGTGGAGTTTTCTCCACAACAGAATATTTGTTGAATATCCTAAAAACATTTTGAATTCAGGCTTTATTTTTTTTTAATTGTTTTTGAAGTACAAGCCAAATAGACCCCAGCTGGTCTTTGAAAATCCATGTTTTGTTTCTAGGTTACTAACTGGGTCTGTTTGATCTGGAAGGACAATAAAAAAATGGATCCTCATATTGGCATTTTTAGAGCCATACCATAACATGTTGGCCGGCTGCAAAATGTGAAGAAGTTGAAAAGAGTAAATTCTATTTAAATTATGTGGGGAAAACTTTTTTGTTGCTGAAAGCCTGACACAAAGTTCACACAAGGAGACAGCTCAAGCTATTGCTGTGTTTGAGTTAAGGCACTGTTTGGGCCTGAGAAGGAAATACAAGCAATTGATTGGCATATTTTTCTGCATCAAAGTGAATTGTCTTTCTATCCAAAGTGTGTCAGCATGAGGAGAATGATGAAGCAGTGGAGAGATGTTATGAACTAGTTCTTCTTCCTGCGTAGTTCTTCTGATGCAACTGTAGCAGTGATTATTTTTACATTTAGTATTTATAAAGGCAGCCTTACTAGATAAGGTGAGTATTTATATGGGTATGTTTAAAAGAGTCATTACTAGTATTATTTCTTTATTTCTTAGTCTGAAGACTAACATGGCTTCATGAACCTTGCACAAGGACCAAAATTTAAGGCAGTCATTTTGAGTAGAGATGGGGAGTGTGATCAATTTGCTGTGATTTGCAAGAGAAGTTATAGAACTTAACGTTCACAGGTTTGAGGGAAGAGTAATAGGATCTTGCAGTCCTTAAACCTTACATGCTTTCAGTTTCTTGTCCACAGAATTTTGATAGGTAAGGCATGAGCAAAATCTGATATTTGCACAAGAAAAACAAGGCTGTGTTGTTATAAAGAAAACAGTCTTCTGAATGTATGTTGTCGTTCTTGTCTTTTAGATAATTCTTGTAAGTTCTTCCCATAATGACCGTGACCAAAGCCTTTTCATAAGCACAGATGAAGGAGCCAGTTTCCAGAAGCAACCCATTACTTTCTTTGTGGAAACTCTCCTTTTTCACCCAAAAGAGGAAGACAAAGTACTTGCTTACACCAAGGATGGCAAGGTAAGTCTTGAAGGTACTGCATTTGTTTGAAATTTAGGAATTATTAAGTTAAGGAGATGCAAAACAGTTTCGATATGCTGATTAGTGTTGGGTTTTATGAAATATCAGTTGCCCAGAAGGGAATCATATCTTGGCTTTGAGCTTTATTTAGATATTCATTGTCTTCATGTCTAAATGCTTGTTTATAATGTAATTTCAATCCTAGTGTTTTCAGCTGATACGGATATTGGTAATACTTATCCTCCTGCTTATTATTGTAAAATAGTACTTCTGAAATGTGCTCCTCCCTAGAAAGTGACCATAAGCAATTTCCCTGTAATTTATAGTGTAGTAGAAAGTTAATGAAGCTGAAATAGTGCCTCCAAAGGCTGTTCATGGAACGTAAAAGTAATATAAAGCAAACCGCACAGTAGTACAGCAGAGGAGTATTTGAGGAGTATTTGAGGAATCAGTGAATCTGTAGAAATGTAAAATAATTCTCTCTCCTATGAGGTATTTCTGCTGCTTTCAGATTCAGGAGTTAGCATGTTTGTAAATTTTAACCATCTTCCAGATTTCTTATGGTAAAATTTAAAGTAATTTTCCTGGATGGGTTAGGCTAAGCATGGATGAGTGTGCGCAGTCTGCCTATAGTTCATCTGTTTTTCACAGTGCCGAAACAGCAGCTGTAAAGTCACTGTGATTCTGGTCCTGACCATGGTCTTGACTCACCTCCATTGTTGCTCCTATTTTAAACTGAAATTAGTAAACTGTAGCCCATTTTAATCCTTGTCAGACTTCACAGAATGTGCATATTTTGGTGGTGAGGTTAGTCAGAGACAGTTGCTCATGCTGCAGCTAAATATTACACCATTTTCAGTGATTTTATATCAAGTCATCCTTTAGGATGTTTTCTGGGATATGTAAGTTAATAGCCCATCCCAAAGCAATTCATGTTTACAGGCATTTGCAAATAAATATAAAACTAGAATAAAATATTTACCAAACCCAACTCAGTCACAAATTACATGAAATATTTTACTTAGCAGTTTCAACTTGAAATCCTAACACAATTAAAAAATACCTTGGATGCATGTTATGTGAACAAAATACTTCAGGGAAGCCTGAAGTTACGAAAAGCCTATATTATGACAACCTTTTTTATTTCAGTTTGAATTTTGCTTCTAATGATATATATAACTCCTGAATTCTGTATAGTTACAGAATGGCAAAATCTTAAATATGAGTCGAAAGAACTGTACTGAAGAAGCTGACCAGCCCACAACAAGTGGTTGGAAATATTTGCCAGGAAAGAGGAGGCAGAAGCACAAAGTGAAGCATTTGCTTTGTTTGTTTTTTTTTTTCTTATGACTTATTCATATTAAAGAGATTTTCAGGAATTTTTTTCTTTTGTAATCTTCCAAAAGGAGTGATGCTGTTATTTGCCAAACTTAAAATGAGACTGGACAAAAAAAAAGCCCCACAAGATAATCAGTAAAGAATAGATCTGCAGGAGTAGCAGGAAGGGTTAGGTAATCTGCTGGACACTAGAAGGAGTCAATCACAAAGGCTTACTGGACAAGTCCTACAGCTATAAGTAAGTTGTGTAGGAATGAAGGATGCCTTTAACGATAACTGAGTCAGTAACCTGCTTACATTTTGTCTAAGATCTAATGTAGTTGGCCTTAGAAGGGAGAAGGAAGATGAAAGGATGTTGGCAAAGGAAGAGTTGAAAATCAGAACTGTAACTTTACATGAGAAAAGGTCACTGTACTAAAATTAGTGGTCTTGAGAGTATTGATCGGAATTTGGCCTAGAGAGATTGTATAGTCTAGAGTTTTGTGTTAAGTAACTTTACCTTTGCTGGAAGAAAGTAGCATCAGGATGTACCACAATCTAAAACTCGGGGGAAGCCATAACCTCCTGCTACTCAAATGATTTCTTACAGAGGCACTTTTGAGAATACAAGGAGTACATGTACACATCCTTCATAAATAGCAATCAGCAAGGCTTCTCTGTCTACTGGAGCCTCACAGCCTTTCTCACAACTTCTGATTTGATTTAGGGTTTATTCTACTGTCGTGGTTTAAACCCAGTCAGGTAACTTGTTCACTCACTCCCAGTGAGTGGTGCCAAGCTGACAACAATCAAGGTCCGTGTTCGTCTCCCCCCCCCTCCCTGCACCGGGGCTCTCCCCTTCCCCGCTCCCGGAGGAACGGGGAGGAGGATCGAGAGAGTGCAACTCCTACGGGTTGAGACAAGAACAGTCCAGCAACAAATCACCACCGCTACTATCAGCTAAAACAATGATAAGGGAAAATAACAAGGGAAGAGAATACGATACCACCGGCCAAGAAAACGAGTTCCACCCGGAAGCTCCTGTCCTTCCGGGTAACTCCCAGTTACCCCCCACCCCGGGCATGACGTGCTGTGGTATGGAATACCTCCCCGGCTAGCCCGGGTCAGGCGCCCCGTCTCTGCTTCCTCACAGCTTCCCCTCCTCCCTGGCAGAGCATGAGCCTCACAGAGTCCTTGGTCAGGGTAAACATCACTTAGCAACAACCGAAAACATCGGCTTCACCAACGCTGTTCTCAAAACTAGAAGTCAAAACACAGCACTGCACCAGCTAACACAAAGGAAGAAAACATGACTGCTACTGCTGAACCCAGGACATTATCCACCCCTTATTCCATACCATTCACGTCGTGCTCAGATCCCACATTTTCAATACACCATCGCTCTCCCACATATATACATCCATATACATACAGACCAAGAGGAAAAAAATCATTTTCTTAGTGCATGGACCAATCCCTATAATGCTGCCGAGTCCATTCGGTCCATGATGTTCCAAGTTCATTCTCTGTTGGGATGATGGCTGGAGGGAAGTCAGGGCCAGTCGCTGGTGACCTGGAGACATCTAGTTGATGGGCTATAAAAGCATTACACAGCAGGCAACAGCATACAATTGAGTTCACTGGCTGTTTTCCCCTAAAATCAAATCCCCTTGAGGTATACATCGGACTTCCCCATCTTCCCGCATTACCCACCAAGTATATCCAGGTCCCTGAGCAAAAGCAATCCCACGAGTGGGTTTGCCTTTACCTGAAGCAGGAATAACCCAGACTGTCTTCCCCAGCAAATTCTTCATATGCACCACGGGAACTTTGTCCCCCTCTACAATATGTAAAAGTTCTGACTGGGCTGGGCCGGCCCTGTTGGCAGATCCTCTGGTGTTGACCAACCAGGTGGCCTTTGGTAAATGTGTATCCCAATGCTTGAAAGTTCCCCCACCCATCGCTCTCAGTGTAGTTTTTAACAGCCCATTGTACCGTTCGATTTTCCCAGAGGCTGGTGCATGGCAGGGGATGTGATATACCCACTCAATGCCATGCTCTTTGGCCCAAATATCTATAAGGTTATTCCGGAAATGAGTCCCATTGTCTGACTCAATTCTCTCTGGGGTGCCGTGTCGCCACAAAATCTGTTTCTCAAGGCCCAGGATGGTGTTCCGGGCAGTGGCATGGGGCACAGCGTATGTTTCCAGCCACCCGGTGGTTACTTCCACCATGGTAAGCACATGGCGCTTGCCTTGGCGGGTTGGTGGCAGTGTGATATAGTCAATCTGCCAGGCCTCCCCATATTTATACTTCAACCATCGTCCTCCATACCAAAGAGGCTTTAACCGCTTGGCTTGTTTAATTGCAGCACATGTTTCACACTCATGAATAACCTGGGCAATAGTGTCCATTGTTAAGTCCACCCCTCGGTCACGGGCCCATCTGTATGTTGCATCTCTGCCTTGATGGCCTGAAGTGTCATGGGCCCACCGGGCCAGAAATAATTCACCTTTATGTTGCCAATCTAAGTCCATCTGAGCCACTTCAATCTTAGCCGCTTTATCCACTTGTTGGTTGTTCTGGTGTTCCTCAGTGGCCCGACTCTTGGGTACATGGGCATCTACATGACGTACCTTCACCACCAGGTTCTGCACCCGGGCAGCAATATCTTTCCACAGTGCAGCAGCCCAGATGGGTTTACCTCTGCGTTGCCAGTTGCTCTGCTTCCATTGCTTCAACCACCCCCACAGGGCATTTGCCACCATCCATGAGTCAGTATAGAGATAAAGTACTGGCCACTTTTCTCGTTCAGCAATGTCCAGGGCCAGCTGGATGGCTTTCACCTCGGCAAATTGACTCGATTCACCCTCTCCTTCAGCAGTTTCTGCAACTTGTCGTCCAGGACTCCATACAGCTGCCTTCCATCTCCGATGCTTTCCCACAATACGGCAAGAGCCATCAGTAAACAAGGCATACTGCTTTTCACTTTCTGACAGTTTATTATATGGTGGGGCCTCTTCAGCACGCACCACCTCCTCCTCTGGTGACATTCCGAAATCTTTGCCCTCTGGCCAGTCCATGATGACTTCTAGAATGCCTGGACGACTGGGATTTCCTATTCGAGTTCGTTGTGTAATTAGTGCAGCCCATTTACTCCATGTAGCATCAGTTGCATGATGTGTAGAGGAGACCCTGCCTTTGAACATCCAGCCCAGCACGGGCAGCCGGGGTGCCAGGAGGAGCTGTGCTTCAGTGCCAATCACTTCCGAAGCAGCTCGAACCCCTTCATAGGCTGCCAGTATCTCTTTCTCAGTTGGGGTATAGCTGGCCTCAGATCCTTTGTATCCCCGACTCCAAAAGCCGAGGGGTCGACCTCGAGTCTCCCCTGGAGCTTTCTGCCAGAGGCTCCAGGTAGGACCGTTCTCCCCAGCTGCAGTGTACAGCACATTTTTTACATCTGGTCCGGTTCGGACTGGTCCAAGGGCTACTGCATGAACTATCTCGCGTTTAATTTGCTCAAAGGCTTGTTGCTGCTCAGGGCCCCATTTAAAATCATTCTTCTTCCGGGTCACATGATAGAGAGGGCTTACAATCGAACTGTAATTTGGGATGTGCATTCTCCAGAACCCCACTGCACCCAAGAAAGCTTGCGTTTCTTTCTTATTAGTTGGTGGAGACAT